TATATAGTAATTATTATATATAATTAATTACTAAAATATATAATTATATATTACTATAAAATATATATTATATATTACTATAAAATAAGTCAATACTGCAGGTCTATGAAACAGTGATCTATTTCAAGTCAATATTATAAATCATTCACAGAGAGAAGACTCTTAAAATATTAGAAAGGACTGGAGTGTAGCTCAGTGGTAGAACACTTGCGAAGGCCCAGAGGTCAATTCCTAACACTGCAGAAATAAATCTAAAAAGGAACACAGACAAATAGGCTCACAATAAATATGACCCCATGCACTACAGTATGGCAAGGAGTGGTGCTATTTGTTGAGGCTCACCACACTACTGAAGAAGAGCAACAAGCTACTAAAAAACTACTCCACTTATCAGCCACAAATTTGTGTGACGCAAACTTTCCCTTGTATATGCTCATCAAAATAATCAGAACAGTTGTTTTCAATAAAATAAGCATCCAGGGCTGGGGCTATAGCACAAAGGTTGGTAGAAAGCTCACTTGACATGTTCAAGGCCCTAGGCTAATCATGGGTGGAGACCCCTGAGACTCCCCAAAGGCAGAAAGCTACAGACCTATAAAGAATGTCTCATCACAATGTGGGGAGGTATTTTTACTAAATTGTTTGGTGACATACAATGATTTTATCGGTACTATTTTGAATGAGTTAACGTGTTTTAAAGGCCTCAGTTCATTTCTAATATAGTCAGTAACTAGACTCTACATCCATAAACCTTGGAATCCTCAGTCTTTAAGTATGTGGAGGTCAAAAACACTATTTCTCAATGCAAATCTGTTACGGGCCTTCATCCCTAAAGACCTAAAACCAAAATCAGCAATCAGTACTTCTTAACCCAAATTTACTTAGGGATACATAAAAACTACCGAAATAACAAAATAGGATAGAACACTCTCTACTGTACTGGTCATCAGATAATTTGGGGGTCGGAGTTGGGGTTAAAGCCTTCAGTGCACGTGCTGAACAGAGTCTCCCACTGAGCTACACGCATGCCCAGTCGCAGTAATTCTATCCATGGGTGTGTGTGCAGGTACACATGCACGTGCCTGTCACAGGCCAATGTTGTGAGGATGCGTACACTGTGAAGATATACTGCTGATATCGCTTTAATAAAGAGCTAAAGAGGGAACAACTAGACAGAAGGTATAGGCAGGACTTCCGGGCAGAAAGAGGGGAAGCTGGAGATGAATCTAGGCACTCAAGAGACACATGGCTTTTTGTTTTTGTTTATCGGTGGGTTCTGTGAATTGAACTCGGTCCTTTATTCTATAAGCCAAGTAGTTTACTAACTTAGTTACTTTCCAAGATGCCTTCCTGGCTGATAAATTTAAACCGTTTTGAAATTCCTAAATCCCAAACAAAGATGCCTTAAGACAAGATGGAAATCCCCAAGATGCGGGAGGCCTACACTCTGGCTAAGTGGCAGAGCACCTGCTTAGCATGCTTGAAGCCCTGAGTCGAATGTCCAGCACTGAAAAACAAAACCCCAAAGACACAAAGCATAATATAGCAGCTTTTCTTTTTGTTCCCAGTTTTACTCTCTTTTTTTACAACTACTGTTCATTCTGTGTGCACACATGGGGGGATCACAACTTACGGGGGTCAGTTCTACCACCACACGGGCTCCAGGGATGGCGTTTACGGGGGTCAGTTCTCCTACCACATGGGCTCCGGGGATGGAATTTAGGTTGCCACACTGGGCTGCAAGTGCTTCTACCCATTGAGCCACCTCACAGGCTCCCAGAATAGATTTTTTTAAGGGGAAGATTAACTTGTACATAAGAATGAATGCGAAGCTGAGCAGGGTGGGGTAAGCCTGTATCCTAGCACCTGGGAAGCTAAGGCAAGAAGATCACGAGTTTTAGGATAGAATGAATGCATGAGTAGCCTTTACAGTATGATTATGACTTTGAATGACTACTGTAAATTTCACATTTCCCTTCTCATCTTATTTGACTGCCTTAAAATTTCCGGTTCCCTGTTACTGTGTTCTCCATTTTCCCACAAGTTTTTCTTTGCCTCTGGTTCCCTCTCCTTTTATTCTGACCACCTTTGTTCTTGTTATTTAACACTGGAGTATGATGCAATTCTGTTACCACTTTTCCCTTTCGGTGTCTGTTCTTCAAACACATAGCCGACCTTAGAGATATGCTTTCTAATTGCTTACCTGTCATCCCGTTTGCTTTTAGAATGGTACTGTTTAAGTAAAAGCCTTATAGAAAAGTTTTAATTAAAACCTCTTAATTTCTGATCATTTCCTTAGATAGTTCCCTTAGAGCAATACCGGATCAAGGAATAAGCCCATCTTTAAATTTTATTTGTGCGTGTCATTGTATGTGCGTGCTCGTGTGCATGTGTGTTGCATATGTGTGGAGTAAGAGTGAAGTTTATGGGCGTTGGTTCCCTTCTACCACTTGAGTCCTGTAGACGAAGCTCAGATCCTGGAAACAGTGTTAGCAAGCCATTTGCAAACTCTACAGATTGCCAAGCATCTTTCTGAAAGGGTGTAGAGCTGGGCATGATGGTGCATGCCTTTCATCCCAGCACTTAGATTACTCACCTGGGCTTAAGCATAAAACTGAAATCAGTCACCACTAGTGTGCACCTACACATCCTCTATATCTTGTAAACAGTGCAAGGGGGATCCTTGTGGGAAGCCCACACGGGTGAGACAAACATGGCCAGGCAGATAGATGGAACTGAAGTGGAAATTTTACTGGGAGAAGGGAAGGGAGAGACAGGAAGAGAAGAGACAGAGAGAGAGAAAGAGACCAGCCAGCCTCTTCAGAAGGGCAGTGAAAAAGAGATCAGGAATGGGCGGAGCTTGTCTCTTAAGGGACCTTTGCACCTGAGCACAAGTAGCAGCAATCGGACCCCTGAGCTGGCTAGAGTACTGCCTGAGTGAGTGACAGGGGCCAGCATAATGCCCAAATCCTAACAGTATAGATCTTGAGAACAAAAGGGTAGGGATGAAATGTAAGCTGTGGGCTCAAAACCAATGTAGCTAACCCATAACTTTGTAAGTAAAAGCATAGAGCCCAACTCACTTAGCCCCTCTACCACCAAAGCACAGACCTTGAGGTTTTCAAAATTCTAGGATGCAGCCCTATCCAGAAAGTCAAAAACTCGGTATCCAGCCGAGGCACAGTGGCTCACACCTTTCATCCAATCCCAGCACTCAGAGTGCAGAGTTAGGCAGATCCATTCAAAGCTAGCCTGTCAATGTAGGTAATTGTCACAAAAAAAGAAAAAAATTATATTCTAGGAGCTAAGAGTATAGCAAATGGCAGAGAATGTACTTGGGATTGGTTTAGATCCCCAGGATTAACGTGGTGGAGGAATTAGTTTAGTATCTTTAAAAAGCAAAGTTTAAAAATCTTTTCTAAAACTTCTAAAAATCTCTTCTAAAACTCTATGGTTTTCACACATAACTTTTATCTATAGTACTGTCTTCATATTACTGAAAAATAAATACAAAGGAAATTTTATAAATTTACATAAACCATAATATAAACTTTAACTATACCAGTATATAAATACTATGGAAATTATAGACATATAAAGTGTTATATTAGAGCATAAAACAGGGCTCAACAGAGCTTAATACTCCTAGACAATGATTCCAAAGCAAAAACATTGGGTACCAGCTACACAGAAGCATGACCAAAGAAGGGCCAGATGTTGCCAGAGGTTTCTGTCCCGCCAAGTCCTGCAGCCGTTCAGTCCCAAAGAAACACACAGAGGTCTACATTAATCATAAACTGGTTGGCCTATTAGTTCAGGCTTCTTATTAACTCTTACATCCAGCATTAATCTATAATTGTTGTCTGTGTTAGCCACGTGGCTGGGTACCTTTTATCAGTGAGGCATTCTCATCTTGCTTCCTCTGCATCTGGCTTAGGACTGCAAACTGACCCTTTCCTCTTCTCTGAATTCTCCTGTGCTCATTGCCCCGCCTATACTTGCTGCCTGGCCAATCAGCATTTCATTCAAATAATACAAATGACAGGGTACCAACCATTGTCCCACAGCAGCCAGATAGCCTGTCACACATGCACAGGGCAGAGCTGAGGCCAGGGAAAGCACCTGCAGTGTGAGCGATTCCAGCGCCAACAAAAAGAGAAGTCTGCAGTTATAAGGACACATCGGTAATTAAGTCAACTGATACAAAGTAGTAGGTAAACCAAGAAACACATAAATTAAGGAAGTAGTAGAGGAGAAAAGAAGCCTGAAGAAATGTATCTTCTGGGGATGGGCATGTCTGTCAGTATGATAAAACACTTCCAGGTCACAACCTATCACTGAGGTAAGTCAGGGCAGGAACTCAAGGCAAGACTGCTTGTCATTCCACACAACACTGCCTTCTACCACGGAACTCAGAGACATCCAACAAAGCACAGCAGGCTCCATCAAGAATCCACCATGGCTGGCTGGCTGTGCACTGGCCCATAACAGGCTTAGCTGGCTCAGGCACTCTTTCTCTCTTTCTCTTCCTCTTCCTCTTCCTCCTCTCCTCTCCTCCCCTTCCTTTTCCTCCCTTCTCCCTCCCCCCACCCACCTCTGGTTTTTCAAGAGAGGGTTTCTGGGTAGCTTTGGAGCCTGCCCTGGAACTAGCTCTTGTAGACCAAGTTGACCTCAAACTTATTAGTTGGCTCTCTTATCTGCCTAGGGATAGAGCTGCCCACAATGTGCTGGGCCCTCCTGTGTGAATTAAGACAATCCCTCACAGACATATCCACAGACCAACCTATTAGATTGAGACTGTTTTCAGGTGATCCTAGGCTGTGTCAAACTGATACTCAGTATTAAGTGGCAGGGGTGTAGTTCAGGTAGAGTACTTGGCTGGCATACCCCAATGTGTCCTGGGTTCTTTCCCCAGCAACAAATAATCATTCTAAAGCAAAACCTGGAACTAGCCAACATGCCAGAGTTCTAGCAGAAAGAATGTCTATACAGTGGCATTCTACTTTCAAAGTGCCCAAATGCAAAGGTAGCGAGAGCTGCGGGAAACTCACACGGTTCTGCTGCCCCCGTAGCTGGACAACTCAAGAAAAACCTCACAAAAGAAATGCTGCCGAATCCCTTCTCTCCCTTTACGGCATAGCTGTATTAAATTATTATAGTAACTGCCAAAGAAAAGAATGGCAAGCATGGATTCTGACTGAGTTCTGAAATATGGAAAGAACAAAGACCACCTAACACTGAAGGAGGGTGGATGTGGACATATTCTCCGCAGTTCAATCTGGATTGGTCCCAGGACTAATAAAATGTGGCTTTTAAAAATAATAATAATAAAAAACACCAGAACATAAAGAAAAATACGTTTACCTCTGTCCCCGGGAAGCAGGTGTTTTCGGCAAGGTTACTATTTCTCTGGGAAAAGCCAATTTTGTTTTCCCCCACGTTTAACTGTAAAATTAGACAATGCTGTAGAGAAAGGAGAAAGGGTGTTATACACACGTATCAACATTTTTAACCCTTCATTTTCTTTTTTTTTTTAATCTCCCCTCCCAACAACAACCAAAAAAAAAAAAAAAGCCAGCTCGCGGTGTCTCGGCTTTCTGGCCGGGGCGCCTCCCCAGCGGCGAACCTGCCCGACGGTGACACCCGGCCACGCCGCGCTGCCCGCCTCCGCCCACGCAGATGTCCGCGGCCCACGGCGTGCGGCTCGGCCACCCCACCCCCACCCCCAGGACGCCGCTCACCTCCGTGGACTGCGGCGACCACGCGGGCCCGCAGCAAAATGGACACGGCGGCCACGCCCTCTGCCGCCGGCCGCCCCGCGCCTGCGCAGCGCCCTGCTCGTCCCACCTCTGCTCGCGCTCCCTGACTAAGACAGGAGATGGTTTCGATTCTTGTACTTTTGGTTGCTGATCCTTGAATTTGGGGGAACAACAAAAACAAAACCGAACCCTTCACACCGCTTTGCCTGCGTCTCAGGACCCGCGGACCCGCGATGCTAGGTCGAACACCATTGGCCAAACTGTAGGAAAAAGCACTACTGAGGTTCCCCTCCGAGGCAAGAAAGAACTTTTAAGTGTTTTTTTCTAAATTTCTGTCGGTAGCAACTGCCCTGACTATCCTGACGTCCATCTCCTATGTAGGGGCTCTGTATGGTTACAAAGGATGAAAAAATGGCTCCTACCCAAACTTCAAAGCCCGAGGAAATGAGGTAATGCGGGGTGAGGTGACAGAGGAGAACGTTCACTTCTGCTTGGGAAGGTCTGGGCTTTTAGGAGGGCAAATTTGGAAAAAGTTCATTTCCAGGTCAATAAAAAGTTCCTTCGCCCCACCGCTGCCCCGGTGCGTATATCCCCAGCTGCACCTCTCCGCAAAACAAAATCCCTGTCATTTCTAGCTTAGTCCTCATGAGAGCACTGTACAGTGGAGTCAAGAGCCTTATCCTTTAAACGAACAGATTTTCTGCACGGTAGAAAAACAAGAGACAGCTCTTCTGAGGACAACAAATTCCATGGACAGGTTCTTTCCTACAGCACCAAAAACGTCAGTGCAAATAAAAACTTCATCCCAGACCAGCACAAAATTAATGTCACTGCAAATATGCTGGCAGCAGGGTATAGTGGCACGTGCCTTAGATCCCAGGGCTTGGAGGCAAGGGCAGGCACACCTCTGTGAGTTCGAGGCCATCTCGGTCTACATAGTTTCAGGACAGCCAGAGCTACAAAAGTGAGACCCTGTCTCAAAACACAAAACAAAAAGGCTGAATGAGGCTGAGGGTGTGGCTCAGTGATAGAGTGCTTCCGGCGATTTCAGATTCTGAACTGATCTCCTGAATGACCGGAAGAACACTGAATGATATAGAGGTAAAATATAAAAACATGTTAAAAACTAAACATATCATATAATAGTATATAACCATTAGAAAGACTATAAAGAGCCAGATTAAGAGTGCTTGCCACCAAGAATGCCGATCTGAGTTCATTTCCTGGAAACCACAGTAGGTGGAGAACCAATTATTAAAAGCCGTCTTCTGACCTCCACACTTGTGCCATGGCCACTTGCCTGCCCACACTCACGCACACATTAGTAATCATTATCTTTAGATAAAGAAACAAGGCATTGCTGCACGAATCGGAGTACAATGGACTGGACAGTTAGTGAAGACTCAAGTTAAAAGCTATGCTATAATTTCAGTTTGGAAAAGAAATGTAATTGGTAGAATGTGGGTAGGAAAAAACATGTATACGTGCCAAATTCGAAAAAAAAAATTATACTAAAATGTGAGACATTTTCAATATTCATTCAGTATTCTGAGACAGGGTTTCTCTGTGTAGACCCGGTGGCTGTCCTGGAACTCACTCTGTAGATAGGTTCGCCTTGAACTCACAGAGATGTGTCTGCCTCTGCCTCCTGAGTGCTGGGATTAAAAGTGTGTGCCACAAACGCCCACTTCATTCAGTATTTTGTTTATTTGTGTTTTTGTTTTTTTGAGACAGGGTTTCTTTGTAGTTTTGGAGCCTGTCCTGAAACTCGCTCTGTAGACCAGGTTGCCCTCAAAGTCACTGAGATCCACCTACCTCTGCCTTCCGAGTGCTGGGATTAAAGGCATGTGCCACCACTGCCTGGCTTCATTCAGTATTTTCAAAATTATTTTGTTGGGTGTTGGAGGCAAAGGCAGGGGGCTTAAAAGCTGAAGGTTGACCTTGGCTGTACAATGAGTAAAACCTACCTGAGACTCTCAACATATATAGGCCTATTCTAAATCTGTTGTTGTTTTGTTTTGTTTTTTTTTGAGACAAGGTTTCTCTGTGTAGACCTAACTGTCCTGAAACTCTAGTTCAGCTGTAGACCAGGCTGGCCTTGAACTCACAGAGATCTGCCTATCTCTGCCTTCCAAGTGCTGGGATTAAAGGTGTGCATCACCACCAGCTGGCCTGGTTTTTTTTTTTATTTTTTTAATGTTTAAATCTGGGTATGGTGGTACAGCCCTTTAATTCCAGAACTCAGGAGGCAGAGGCAGGCATATTTCTGAGTTTGAGGCCTATCAGGCCTATATAGCCTCAAGCAAATAAACAAAACTTTGCATTCAGAATCTATTACTTTTTTAATGTAAACAAAAAAGAAAGCAAGGTAAATTTGTAAAAGAAACCGGAAAAAAAAATCAAATGGAACAAATATATATTTAAACTTCGCTAAATGGTTGACAAAATAAAGGCCAAGTTTTCAAAAATAGATCAATCACACATCTATAAAAATATAAATTAGCAATAATCCTGAGGAAACCAGTTCTTTATTACTGATAATCAAATGCAAAACAAAGCACTTTTAAAATTCACTGATGTGGCAGAGATTTCGAAATCTAATGAGTGATCTTCTGTGTGGGCACAGGAATAATCTTGGAACCAGGAAGAAGAAACAGGAAAAAGGCGGCATAAGTGGGGGGAAAACCAGAATGCCTAGAGATGACAAGAACAAGCCGGTCTGCGATCACAGGGAACAGTGTTGCCCTGGGAACGTCAACGGGTGGAGACCATTGTCGTCCCTGCTTAAAGAGAACCGTGTACTTGCCTGATGTCTGTATATGCATCTAAAAACGAGACACCCCAGGAATAGTGTACAGACACAGATCTGTTCTTTTTCAAATTTAAATTTAAAAATACAGAAAGAAGAAAAGGAGATTGGGCCTTGAAAATGACTAAAATCTTCCAGTTGTGTTACTGATGGCTTGAGAGAGAAAGCCCTTGTCTGGAGCTGGCTAGAAGTAAGTATGTGACCGGGAAGTACCGATGGGACATCATAGTGTTCATAGTAAAGGCCAGCTCCACGGCCGCACTTGGAAAAGTATCCCCAAGTGACTGCAAGGGTCCGAAATAGAGCCTTCCACACTGGCCCAATCCAGAGCACTAAGAGTCTTAATCATCTCAATGATGGCCAAGACTCTAATATATGTATTCCTCATACAAACTAATAATGTAAAAATATCTATCCTTACATGGACTGTCTATATGTGTTTGTTTTTATATCATTTACTCAATACTAAATTGGCTTGTAAGTGCCCATGTAAACAAAAGTTGTTGAACTGGCTCAGCTTCCTTTTGACTTATAATAAAAGTAAAATTTTAAGGGAAAAAAAATCCCAACACCAGTTGTCCAAACAGGCTAAGTAGCATGGTCGTATGGATGTCTGTGGTCTGGCTCACAAGGAAAGCCTTCCTATAACTCCATGCTGGGATCTCAGCCTAGCCCGGCTTCCACGTCATCTCGGCACCTGCCAGCTATGCTCAGAAAAACCTGGGCCCACAGACAGGCCTGTTACCAAATTACAAGGTGGGAGGAGGAGGGAAAAGTGCCTTTCTTTCCTAGTATTTTCAAAGAGGAAATTCTTAGTTCTTAACTACTGCATTTCCTAACTAGCCAACAGCAACAGTTACCACAGGGATACATCCTGGCCATCCATCTGCTTCTTTCCTGTTCTCCAGCGTAAGGGACCATACACCAGTCCCATAGACAGAGCCCTGTACTCTGTCCTGTCCAGCGGAGTGTGTCTGCCATTCTCTTTCATTCAGTCCTAATGACAGTGAGTTAGAGTCAGGATCTGGACTTTAAACAGCAACGGTAGCAGAGCAAGATGAGCTCTGCCAGGGACTCTCACCGGCAAGCCACCCTGCGACAAAACGCAGCCTTCCAGTTTACCACAGGGATCCCACCATTGGAGACACAAATTTCACAGATTAGGAAAGTAACAGGCCAAACAGCTTTCTGCCTCTGAGTGATCCACTTCAGGATGTTAATGGGACCTCCCTGACTCCTTGCTTGGGCTGTGTGTTCACCTTACCCCCAGGTTCCCATATTAAGAAGCAAAACTTAACCAAGTTGGTTGGTTTCAGTATGAAAGCAATCCTCTGAACATTCATGGTTTTCATCTTGTCTGGAAGGAGCAGGCTTTCTGCAGCTGCAGCCCTCGGCTCTGGCTTCTGAAACCTCTTTTAAGGAAGAAATACTTCCAAAAGAAGCAAACAAGTCCACAGAGACAGGATTCAAGCGCATCCAGCTGATAGCACAGGAAAAGCAGCACCTGGAGTCGGCTCTGCACTGCAGTAAGAGCAGCCTTAGCGCCCCCACCTCTCCCCCACCTGGGGCCAGGGGCACCAAAGGAAGCTGAAGATGTCCTAGCAGGCTGCGGGGGGGAGGGAACAAGACTGGGGGGGGGGTTGGTGTTGGAGCCTTAATCTTCTGATCTAGGTTCTCTCCCGTGAAGGATAACTTAAAGTCGCATCCTGTGTGTTTTCTTTTTTGTTTATTGCATTCCCTTGAAAAGGAATCACACACAGGCCAACACTCAAGTCTCAGGACTGTACCCTGTCATACAGAGTGCTTGGTTTTGTTTGTTGTTTTTAGCCTAACACAAAGCTACCTGGGAAGAGGAACCTTAACTGAGAAGAGGTCTCAGCATTGATGATTGGTGGGGGAGACCCCAGCTCACAATGGGTGGTGCCACCCCTCAGCCAGTGTCCTGGCTGCTAAAGGAAACGAGTTGAGCAAACCATGAGGAGCAAACCAGTAAGCAGCA